CTTTCCCTCTTTTAGTGTCCATGCAAATTAAAACAAATAAAAGAAGCAGAATAGTATTAGTCAATTGATATTGAGTACCTGCCCGGCTCTCTAACCCTCACCAGACTTGTCCTTGAGCAAGTCATAGCTCCTCTCTGGCTGATTTCTAAGGTAAAGTGAGTTTGGACTAGACGATGTCTGATTTTTCTTCTGTCCCCAATAGTCACAGAGACTGAGTGTTTGCAATGTGTGGAGTGTCATTTTATTTCATTCAGCCCAAGATTCAATTATTCTGCTCAACTGATCTTTTTTAATAATAAACAAAATCAGGTAACTTTGACAAACCTTCAGGTTAACAAGGCAGCAAATTCGCAATGCCTAACAGACTTCCTCCTAACTTTCAATTAAAATACCCATGAGTATACAAAAGGATAAAAACTGGCACTAACATTGTAAACTAAAGATAAGAGAAGAAGATATGTCAAAGTTCAGAGGGAATTTCCACTAACTGCATCATTAATGAAGAGAGATTGGGAAATATATTCTTGGATGTCACAAACACTACCCTTTGAACCAGAACAGCAAGATCAACCCCAAAGCAGGAGGTCAACCTGGACTGCTCCCCACTTCCGTCCTTAATGCCAGAATAAGGGGGATGCACTGATCTGAAAACTAGGTGCCATCTACCACTGAGGTAGAGTTAGCATCTGTGTCCAGCCACCATCATAGCCTTGCCCTGTTTTCCCATAATCAGCTACATTTCTATATCCATTTAGAGACTACATTTCCCAGTGAGCAGTACAGCATAAAGTAGAGGAAGCTGGGTAACAGTGTGATGAGCACAAAGGTGGGATGGGGACGAGAGGAGTTACGGAAACCATGCATGCCGAATATTGGGTCCAAGGGAAAAGTCTTTAATGTACTATAATTTCATAGGAATTGCATTTCATACTTGTCAGAAATCCCAACTCTTTCTGGCAAATGTATGCAATGCCTATAAGGTATCATATATAACCTTCTCTGACAAGATCTGGGAAGGAAAAACTGCCAGTCCCTGAGGAGGCAGTGGGGGAGTCTAAGGCCACATCACTTACCCTGTCTATTGGGAACTCAATATTGAACTTATGAAATTAGTTTGTAACATTAAATAATGGGATATTTATGCTAAATAGTTTATTTTTCAACTTTTCACAACAAAGACAAATAGAATATATGTAAAAAAATTTCTTCAATGTTTTATTAGCTCAATATTCTTGGACATTTTTAGTGTTTTGTAGCCATTTTCTGGTTGATTCTGCTCATATGGGTTGTGTTGATCATAGCTTTTCACCAAAATTCTCCAAGATACTAACATAGGTATATCACCTTTAATGATTCTGTCAACTAGAGTATAACAGATGTAATTTGTCAACTCTATGATTGAGTGTATTCTTAATTTGAAAGTAAAAACCAAATGGAAATCCCTGTCCTGTTCAATAATGCATTAGACACAGTACAGACTGTCACCAGGAGGATTTTGTTCTGCTTTCTCTTTAATAAGTCATGTTGAAAGAACAGCTGTAATATTCTAAACTGTTATATTATTGCAATCAGACTGGTGTTGGGGAGGTTTAGAGTCTAGGTATTTCCTTGTAAAATAACAACTTGAATAAATGAAAGGCAATTTAGACCTTGCCCTTTCTTTACCATTAGGGCAGCAGATAGCTACATTTTACATCCTTTAATTCCCTTCTTCAATTTAGATAAATCATTTAATGTGTAATATATTTTTTTGGAGAGATTTTCACTATAGGGTGCGTGCGCTCGCCAGACAGACAGAGAGAGACATTAGAGACAGAAAGCGAGAAATCACCCCCCAGGGGGGATGGTCACACCGCAATCCCTTCTTCTCCATTCTTCTCTCGGGATCTTGGGCATGCACGCACATGCGCTCGGCATGAGTTTTAAGCCACCGGGTCTGGGATGCGAACTATAGTCAGTTATGTGGGAGTCCAGCGACATAGCCATTATGCTAACTGCTGGTTCCCAATATATAATTTTTTATTTTTTGAGAGGTTTTCGCTATAGGGCACGTGCGCTCGCCAGACAGACAGAGAGAGACAGAGAGACAGAAAGCGAGAAATCACCCCCCAGGGGGGATGGTCACACCGCAATCCCTTCTCCTCCATTCTCCTCTCTGGATCTTGGGCACACACGCACACGCGCCCGGCGTGAGTTTCAAGCCACCGGGTCCGGGACGCGAACCGCGGTTGACTACCTGGGAGTCCAGCGACACAGCCATTATGCTAACTGCTGGTTCCTCCCAATATGTAATATTTTTAAGAATATGTTGATATTTAAGAGATTTCCCCCTTTTCATCATTTTTTTTTTAAATTCACTAGAGAGCATGTATGTTCAACAGCAATAGACTGAAAGAGAGAGAGGGAAGGAAAGAGGAAGAGAGCACGCCCCCAGCTGGGCATGGTCACAATCACAATCCCTTCTCCTCCATTTCTCTACCCTGTAGGGATTTGGGGCATGTACACACATGCGCCAGGTGTCTTTTTCAAGTCTCAAGGTCCAAGACTCTAACCACCTACTTGGCCGTGTGGGGTCTGGCTCCCTTAACCAGTAGGCCCTTTTAACCACTAGGCCACAGGGCCAGGCCACTCTTGTCATCCTTTAATGGTGTCACCATTGGAATCTAGAGTGGCAACAGTACTGGTTCTAGCCCACACCCGTTGAGCACACACTTACCATGTGTCATACATTGTGCTCAACACTTTACTTTCATTATTCTGTAAAATCTTGATGGTCATTCCAGGAAATAGACATCTAATTATCCCCACTCTACAAAAAAGGAATGCAAATATCAGACATGTGGGAAATCTTTTTCCAGAAAAAATGTCTATAAAAATAGAAAGGAAGTTCATAGAATGCTGTGATCAGTTAAATTTTATGTATAAACAAGAGAGTTTCTACCCTAATTAAATAATTGATTAAACTCAACAGGTATTTGTCATGTGCCTACTATGACACTCTTTTAGGCAATTAGAGAGAGAACAATAAACAAAGCAGATCCCATCACCATGTGGCTTACTTTCATCAGGTCATAAATAGATACACAGGTAATAATTTCTATGAAACTCAGTACACAATTACATAGAATAAGATGATATTTCCGAGCCTCTTTACTTAAGTATGGTTATGAAACTAATTTCTGACCAATAGGATATGAATAAATGTGATGTGTACATATTTAAGGTTGTACCCTGGGAAAAGGGCATACCCTCCTTCTCTTTCCCACTTCCCACTGCCTAAAAGCAATGTGGCGGTGCTGAGCCATCATGAACCATGTGGACAGTGGTTACATGCTATGCAAAGCCGAATAATAAGATAAAGGGGGGCTTAGACCCTGATCTGTAA